GAGGGGGATGGATTGCAGCGAGAGCGTCCCCACGGGCTGGGGCTGCAGCTGGGAGATGGACACGCGGCCTTGGGCTGCCCCCATGTGGTTCAGGGCGGGGGCCTCGGGCTCTGCCTGCTTGCTGGGCCGCCTGCAGCTCTCGGGTCTGTCGGTGATCAGCTTGTCCAGCTCCTCTGCACCAGCAACACCCGTTCCCAAGGAAGAGAAGAGACAGTTCGACCCGTTTGCCCAAGGGGGGTCTGGCCAAAGTGCTTCACACAGAAGGCAGAGAGCAAAGAAACACCAACTCCTTCCCTTCCTCCCCCAGGTGACCTCCATCGTTACCCCTACGTGAGCTAAGAAACCATCACATGAGGCTTTTACCCCTAAGTGAGCTAAAGAAACCCTCACATGAGCCTGGCAGGGGGTGGCCGAGCCCCCAGCCCTGGCAGCTGAGCTGCAGTGCAGAGCCAGGTCCCCTCAGCAGGCTCCTGCTCCCAGGGGGGCTCTGAGTTCTGCTTGCAGCTCAAGTGAGACTCACACCAGAGTCTCCTGACAGTTTGAACAGCACTTTGGTTTTTAAGCAAAGGGGAATGTATTTTATCATGGATTGGACACTACAGATTTTGCAGCAAAACATACTGGTTGATTTTGCCAATGTTGAGCTCCTGAGAGCTTCAAAAACGTGTCTTTCCAAAGAAGAATGAGGAAGTCTTGGCAAAAGAGTTTTGCAGAGCAGGCAAAAAGCACGACGCTATAAATACCCACACTGGAGGCAGTGTAACTCCTCAGAAGACCCCCGGAGGGGCTGGCTGGGGGAACAGCCAGTGTGCCTGGAAGGTGGGGAAGGGTTTGCACCGAGAGCTGTCAGCTCGGTTCCCTCCTCCCGCTGCCGCCTGTCCCCGGCACAGCCTCGGGGCAGCGGCAGCCACTTCATGCAGAGCACGGGGGTTTCTGCTGAGCGAGCAGCTGGGAGGAGGAGGCCACTGCAAGGTGAGAGCTCTGCACCAGCCAGCTCTGCTCCACATCACCTCTTTCTCCTCATTGGTCTTGGCAAAACAGCTGCTTCCCCTCCTGCCTCTCACCCTCGCAGGCGAAGCGTGCTGCAAGCCCTACCTGGGTTAGCCATGCTCCTGTGAATAGCAGCCAAATCCTTCCTCTTCCACTTCTGCATCTCCTCCTCCATCTTGTCGATCTTGGCAGGGTTGAGGGCCCACAGGCACCCTTTGCGAGAGGTGCCACTCAGCTTGTTCTCCACCTTCTCAAAGCACTTGTTCAGAGACAGGTTGTGGCGCACGGAGTTCTTCCAGCCGTCGGGGGCTGTCTGGAAAACACAGCGGGACGTGGGTGGGGCAAACCAGGCACAGAGTGCCCCTGATGTTCTGCTGCCACCCTCGAGGGGGCGAGGTGTACCTTGAAATAGGGGAAGTGCTCCTTCATGAAGCTGTAGATCTCGCTCACGGGGAGACTGCCTGTCTTGCTGTTCTTCAGGGCCATGGCAATCAGGCAGCTAGAGGGCAAGAGAGACACGGGAGGTACCAGCCCGGTGCGTGTGCTCAGCCACCAAACCTCCCCACCCACAGACACCTGCCTCGTCGTGGGATTGCTCTTCAAGTGCCCAGGAGTCCCCTTGGCATCCTGCAGATTTTACTTCCCTGGGCTGTTACTCCACCTTTATGCTGAGGTCTGGGGAGTAACTGGGTTGTTCAGTCCTGCTACCCCTCAGAGGCAGTGTCCACAGAGCTCCCGGGGGGATTTTTGTTCCCTTTGAAAGGAATCATAGTGTCCACAGAGCTCCCGGGGGGGTGTCAGGATTTTTGTTCCCTTTGAAAGGAATCAAACACTCTTGTGCTATTCTCAGCACTGGAGAGAGATGGAC